CGTACGTGCCAGGTAGCCAGCAGCTAGGCTGTTTAGTATAAGGAAGATTAATTTTTGTAAAAAATGACTCAGTTAAGTAGATTTGGTAATTCAATTTCACCGAGAGTTTGCTTGAGCTTGAATTCACGGCAATTATTTCAATAACTAACATGGTAAACAAACAAGTTTTATTAAACCTTTACTTTTGCTCAAGGACGAAAACATAATTGATTGAGTTTATGTTCAGTAGATCTGAATGTTGCACTTTTATCTATGATAATCATCATGATTTGGATGCGGCAAGATTTCGCAATCACTTTTTGGATTGCAATGGAATTCATCTTCGTCAGCTTACTCAGATAACTATCGGACGGTTTACAGCTGCTAGTTATCGATGAGGTTTGCACGGTGTAAGCCGACCAGGGCGGTAGGAAGACTTTTGCATTATGGCTTTCAAAAAGATTCATTTAAAGTAACGCAGGATTTTGGGAAAATAAATTGGCGCTAGTCCTATGTAACGGTCCAGATAAGAGTTGAACAGAGAGGCAACTACTGATGTACCAAATTAACGAAAGCCTATCAGTGATCTAATTAAGAGCAACATGCTAATAAATGCAATTATTGGCAAGTTCAGTGAGCCCGTTCGGCTGTCATCGTATTGTCGAAGGGTATGTCCACAGTAAACGCGGAAATTACAAGACACACATAATTTCAAGGCGGATATAAGAAAGCATGCTAATATTCACTTATTTGATAACTGAAATCAGAAACGACTCCAAGTCAGCTCTGCCATCCTAGTAGCTATCACATCAATGACACGAGATAGAGCAACGAATGTCGCTGTCATCCCGTGTGAAGGTTGTACGTGATAGTGGTGACACTCAATAACCCACCACTATTTGATCAAATGCATAAACCCGCAGTAGAGTGCCATGACTATCACCTAACACGGGTTCCTATTTATATTGATTTCAGAGAAAATACTATTTGAATGCATTATATATTTTATATAATCCGATCCAAAAGACAACATATTAACTGGTTCAGAGGCAAAACAATTTGATTTGCAGCCGTTGACACCGTGTCTGAGAAAATATATTTCTGCTTAGGTTTCCCAGTTTTCATTAATTATTTGAAAATAAGTTACTGAGAAAGTATATCAGTACTTGCATAAATACTCCAAACGCTTAACTTTTAGAAGAACCAAACGGAAAATGGATCGATTGTTTCTGGATTATTACATGCCGTTAACAACTCATAGCCAAGGCCTTGTTGGCGGAGCCTACGATTCCAACTAGCACAGATTGGCACTCCTAGTAAGTCGAACTCACGCAAAAGATAAGCTATTTGCTAAGTCTTGAAGGCCAACGTGCCAAATCTTGTGAACCTACGTGGCAATTTGGCGTGCTTCTATGACAAATCTGGGTTGAACCAATGGTCAGCGAAAGCTTTCTTGCAGAAATTACAGAGGCCACTTTGACAAAACTCCTGCATTTCTCCAGGGGTCTTAATGTTTTCCTGATTCGTAAACGAACGTAGACATATCGGAGCCTAACACCAGTGACTAATTGAAATCACTCCGAGGGCACCTTACTTATGTCAATAAATATGAGTGTTTCCTTTGCTCAACAAGTGCAAACAACGCATTCCCAGGTCTACTAATCGCATACACTATATCTGGAAATTCGTGCAACTTTCATGATGAAACGTGACTAATTACTTTAGCATCTGCCGATGCCATGTAATCCTGTCAAATC